AATATTTTTATTTGGATGTTAGTTTCCTACAGCCCTTAAGCAGAAAGCATGGACAGTGCTGTGGAAGATTTCATTTTTGGTTCACCAAACTGCATGGCAAAGGAGACTTTTATCTATTTATGGAAATGAAATTTGCCTGCTTGATGCCACATATTGCGTTTGTAAATGTGATGTGACTTTATTCTTCATCTGTGTTAGTAATGATGCAGGATATATCACTGTTGGATGCTTTCTGCTGCCTTATGAAACAGTGAAGAACAGAAGTCAAGGGTTGCATATACTGAGACACTGGAACAAGGATTGGTCTCCAACAGTTTTTATGACTGATTATGATCAGAAGGAGATATCTGCTATAGAGAACACTTTTCCTGGTAATATTTTCAGAATCTCGTTACTTGGTTGAATCCTAATAATTATAATATTTTAATTTGCTTAAATGTTTTGTTTTTTTTTCTTACATTTAACATACATGCCATAACGTCCTGGATGTCCGCAGGCAGTTATTAGTGGTCAAACATCGTGAAAATTACCACTAAATATGAGGTGATGAAATCTACAGGATTCAGCGAATGTTTCAGGTAAACAACATGGCTAATTGTCCTTAGGCCTAAAAAAAAAATTGTTTTGTTCGGGTCACCCGACCCTACCTAATAATATGCGCCGACCCTACTGTTTTTTTCGTGTCCAAAAAAAAAAAAAAAAAAAAATCGATGAAAATACCGTATTATTGAGGTACTCAATGAGCAGGGTGAAGGGCAATTCAGGCGAAAATTTCGCTGTGTATATTTCCATTTCGCTCTCCCCCAATTGATCAAAGAGAAGTCAACATCTTTGCGAGTTTAATACGGGATTTGGCGATAATTATAGATTAATTTTTTCCAGATCATCTAAACACGTGCAAATCTTCCCTAATTGATATACACGCGGTGTTTAACCGAAGTAAAGGCGATGTGCAATGGGTTTTTCACGGCTATCACAAAACTGTTAGTCAATTTCATTTGGATGATTTCAGTCCGTTAACATCAATTAAAAATTGTTATGTCGCTCACGTCATGGCTTGGGGTGAAATGCCCAAACCTAGCAGTAAGAAAAAGTTACTGATTCTGATACACCTAATACACGCGAAAATTTAAGAAAGCCAATTCGCAAAAAGATTTGGTGATATGTGCAAGAGATAGTTAAACATTTCTGGCACAGATGGTTGAGCGAATTCATCATAGAAAGACATGGCACCAGGAAACACGTGACTTGAAAGTGAACAATGTAGTTCTGGTGATTGATGCTGATAAATCCCATGGAGAATGGTCACTTGGAAAAATTGTTGCTTTACATCCAGGTGCTGATAAACATGCACATGTATTAGATGTCCGAATGCATGCATGACAATAGTCATGTGTGAATATGTTGTAAATATAAGAACTATTGCAAGTTCAATCTGTCACTATTTTAGAGATTTTGATTGATAATGATTTGTAAGTAGTTGTATTTTGTAAAAGTAAAAAAAGATGATAGAATGCTTGTTTTGTTACAGATGATGTCTTTGTCCAAGCTGATTGCTGCCAAAATAGCAAAGCCCAACAGTCAACCAGTAAAGGTGACTGTAGTTGAGGTGGGAAGATGCAACAAGTATAAGACGGAAAAGGGGAAAGACAAAGAAATAACAGTGGTGGAGGCATGTGACAGAGAGCATGCCATAAAGTTAAATGTGTACAATCCTGTCAAAGTTGCCCTGTTGAAGGAGGGAGGATGTGTGATGTTGCTAAATTACATCTTCAAACAGGAACCAGACAGTCAACCAGTGAAGGTGACTGTAGTTGAGGTGGGAAGATGCAACAAGTATAAGACGGAAAAGGGGGAAGACAAAGAATTACAGTGGTGGGGGCATGTGACAGAGAGCATGCCATAAAGTTAAATGTGTATGATCCTGTCAAAGTTGCCCTGTTGAAGGAGGGAGGATGTGTGATGTTGCTAAATTACATCTTCAAACAAGAACCAGACAGAGCCATCACGCTGTAAATTTGGCAAACAGCGCCCCTGCAAGTATAAGGCTGCAAATCAGCAAAAACAGTCACAAATTAAATCACTTGTATCCGTTCAAGGAAAAGTCATATACGTAAGTTTTTTGTTTTTTTTAATAGAATCTGTTCAGAAATTTGTTTTATTCTTACTTGAAGTAATAGCACAAGCATTCCTTTTATTTGAACTTACAATATGAATGACTTTATTGAATTTCACAAACATACTTTCCTAATTACATGAAAAGTACATTTGATTTGCTCGACAGCAGACATGCTAAATCGAGAAGCATCTTCTAGTTCCGTTCAATTTGAGCCATTTCTGTTTTTGGAATGCCCTCTATAATGGGCAGACGCTTGAAGACAACATGGCGGAAAAAAAAAAAAACATTATGGCTGATGAAGAGAAGTGATTAATTTTGCGAATTATATTTTTGTACATTATGTTTTTTTATATTTGTTGGTATTGATTAAATGATATTGATATAAGAACAGTCTTACTACTTTGAACAACAATGAACTGGAGAATTACATTCTTAATGTTCACAAACTAATACTAACACATAGCTGTAATTCTGATGTCATCCTACACCAAGATATGAGTGACCAACAGAGTGTGCAGAGGAAGGAAGGTCTTCAATTATCAAATCAACAAATGGGTAAAAAAAAAAAACAACAGAAATTCATAGAATGAAGTAAGGTGGCAATCATGCTCCTATTTTTGTATGTAAAAAATATAATGATATATTTGATGTTAAAGATGTTTTTTTATAAATCTTAAAACACATTTTTGTAAATTTGAAAGTTAACAAGTTTTATGTTTACATTCATTAAATTTTCAAGGGCTTAATTCTTTTTTGTTTGTTTTAATTTGACATTAAGCTGTCAAAAATAAACATGTTTGAAATGTCTGTCAATGTTGGTTCGTTGGTAGACCACATGGTTTCTGCTGATTATCTAAAAAAAATATTTATCACAAAATCTTCATGACTTTCTATTACTATTTTGTAATAATCATCAATAAATATTTGTTTTATATTTTTGTAGATACCAAAAAGTGAGACAACATTTCCATGTATCTGATAGAGAGGAGCCAGCAACAGGGCACAGAGATTATGACCACCTCTACAAAGTTAAACCCATCCTTGACCATGTAACAGTGTCATTGCTATTAAATTACAATGTTGGACGAGAGGTAGCAGTGGACGAGGCCATGATTAGATACACTGGCAAACTTTCATTCCATTAATACATGCCAGCTGAGCCCATAAAAAGGAAGAATCAAGGTATGGATGGCCAGTGACTCCAACTCTTCCAGATTTCAGGTGTATCTTGGGCAGAGTGCAGTTGGTGTTGAACACGGACTTGGATTCAACGTTGTCTCTGGTCTCACTGATAATATTCACGGAACTTACCGCCATGTTTACTTTGACAATTGTTTTACTAGCATTCCCTTATTAGAACATTTGTATGAAAACGGATTGTATGGTTGTGGTACAGTTAGGGTCAATAGGAGAGGCTTCCCTGCTGAACTGAACAAGAGCCACCGCCGGGCGGGGGCAACGCTCGACTTTTTACTTTTTCTAAAACGCAAACATAGAAAGGTTTTGAACATATATTAACGTTTCCTTTTTATAAATTTAGTTGGTCTGTCTTGTCAACATTAGTTTTGTTTATATATTTGGTATATATATGAATAGAAACATTAAGCATATTTCTAAAAATAGCAACAATACGCAATTTCTTAAAATAGCAACATGACGCAATTTCTAAAAATAGAAAAAATGACGCAATTTCTAAAAATAGAAAAAAATGACGCAATTTCTAAAAATAAAAAAATGACGCAATTTCTAAAAATAGCAACAATGATGCAATTTCTAAAAATAGAAAAAATGACGCAATTTCTAAAAATAGAAATAATGACGCAATTTTAGTGACGCAATTTCTAAAAATAGAAATAATGACGCAATTTCTAAAAATAGAAAAAAGGACGCAATTTCTAAAAATAGAAAAAAATGATGCAATTTCTAAAAATAGAAAAAATGACGCAATTTTTAAAAATAGAAAATATATATATATATATATATACATACATATATATATATATATACATGCATATATATATATATATTTATGTATATATATTTATATATATATATGTATATATATATATAATATATATATATATATATATATATATGTACATGCATATTATATATATATATAATATATATACACACACAGACACACACATTTATATATATATATATATATAATACATATACTATACATACACACACACCAATAAATGCACAAATCTGAGAAAATTCAGTAATATAACCTTCAAGGTCAAGGTCTTTAAAGAGCCCAAGCAAATTTGGGTTTGATAAACAACAAGGTCTGGTCCTTATAGTCCAGTCATTCTAGCTCAAAATAGAGCCAAACCTCAAACAAATTGCAACAGAAAATATTTTGAGTGTTTTGAAACCCCAGACCTATATTGTATAACATATCAAAAGTCTAGAAAAATCTAAATTTGGAGAATGTTTTCAAAAATTTGAGATCAAATATATGGGTATCATTGTATTTATTTTTTTAATTTGAACTCAATGTAATACACACATACAATTTTCCAATCAGTTTTATATATAATATGCATAAAAATATAGCTTAATCTATCCATATAGACAATCAAAAAGTTGTTTTTGTTTAAAGAAACACTTTTACCTTTCTAAAAAAATAACTTAAGTGGGTGGGGGTAATATTATATTTTTACATTGTTTGACAGCCAATAATAGAAAATACATATTGGTTTTACAAAAAAATGTCAAATTTCAACGTTTCAATAATTTGACCATTCAAAGTCAAGGTCATTATGAAAATATCTATATTAACATTGTAAGCTAGTCTGACTGGTTATTTTTAAGGGATATCCTTAGAAGATTATTATGTTCAAGTTTGAAGACAATTCATTCAAAAATAACAAAGTTACAGCCAATAACAGCATGAACAAGCAAAAATTGGACTTTTTACCTTGAAGGTCAAGGTCATTTATGGATGAAGGTCAAGGTTAGTGTGGTCTACTAAAAGGTCTTGTCCCAAGGGTTGTTGTGGCCAAGTATGAAGACAATACACCAAGAAATAAAAAAGTTATGATCCAGGTACAAGTTTTCGGACGGCAACGGCAACGCCGACCTGACTATAACAATACCTCTACTTTTTTTTCAAAAAAAAAAAAGTCGAGCTAAAAAAACCAAGGAAATAAAGAACCGTGGTGAGTCAATGGTGATACAGAAGGGAGACTCGAACCTGATCGCCACAGTGGGGAAAGACAAGCGCCTGGTACACCATCTTTCCACACTGAATCAGCCCCAGGACATTCAACCTGCACATAGAAGAGTTGGTTCAACTGTCCTCCAGCTGCGTCAGCCCACCTCAGTGAAAAGCTACAACAAGTTCATGGGTGGTGTATATCAACATGATCAACTTCGTATGAACTACACCGTCATCCTTCATGGACTTTGATTACATACCATATTTATCACTATGTTGTGACATGCATTATTAAATACTTTTCATTTTAGATAAATGTACCCATTCTTGTTGAAAGTAAACAACATAAAAATAGTTACTGACAGGGGCTTGCTCATATTCATATATTTTGTATCTGAAATAATTTGAATGAACATTAAGAAGTAGGAGGTTAGCTAATATGGGAAGGGAGAGGTCAAAATATTTTGATATTCAATTTATTTTGTAATATAATTTTTAATGTGAAAAAAAAATTAAGATATAGATTTAATACATGCTGTTATGTTGTTATGACATACCGGTAGACAAATGTCAATGTTTCATTTTACAAATATGTGTGTGTATTATGGTATTCTTGAACAGATTTTCTAGAAGATCAAGAAAATTTGCAGCAACACATAAATGCCTGAAGGAAAGAAAGGCCTGATGACTGCTTCTACTTTAAACCTAGGTAATACATTATCATTTAATTTAATTCTTACATAACAATTCCTTGGCTGAACTATTAATTACCATTACATGCATTCTTGTGAAAAATACACTTGTCTTGTTTCATTTACTGTCCTACCTTTATTAAGTATGTTTCTTGCACAGAGATTAATGACTTTAATTCATTTTGTGGCATTATGATATAAGTCATAAATATTTTTATTTGGATGTTAGTTTCCTACAGCCCTTAAGCAGAAAGCATGGACAGTGCTGTGGAAGATTTCATTTTTGGTTCACCAAACTGCATGGCAAAGGAGACTTTTATCTATTTATGGAAATGAAATTTGCCTGCTTGATGCCACATATTGCGTTTGTAAATGTGATGTGACTTTATTCTTCATCTGTGTTAGTAACAATGAAGGATATATCACTGTTGGATGCTTTCTGTTGCCTTATGAAACAGTGAAGAACATAAGTCAAGGGTTGCACATACTGAGACACTGGAACCAGGATTGGTCTCCAACAGTTTTTATGACTGATTATGATCAGAAGGAGATATCTGCTATAGAGAACACTTTTCCTGGTAATATTTTCAGAATCTCATTACTTGTTTGAATTCTAATAATTACAATATTTCAATTTGCTTTAATGAACATATAAAATATGGAAACCTTTTATGGTTAACCATTGAAGTAGTGTCAACAGTATATTTTCATGCCAGCGCAGCATCTGTGATGCAGTGTCATGTAGCAATTCACCTGTGTGCATGCCAATGTGTGTTTGTGTTACATAGATTAAACAGTGAACTTAAAAAATCACTTTTGTTTGTAAAAATCCCGGTTTGGTTTCAAACCGGTTTGTTAAACAGTTTGTTTGTTTGGAAGTTCATAAACTTCATGAATACATTTTGCAGGGACAAAGTACGAGTTTGGGAAAGAGGTTGTCGAGGATCTGCATCCTTGGATTTTGTAGACTCTTGTAGATTGGAACAACGTTGATTCTGTCATTTGCAAATAAAGGCAAGTATTAAACATTAAGTAAATTTCTCAGTATTACCATTCCAAATTCCGAACTTTTTGGATAGTCCCACAGGTGTTCCGTTTTCAGAAGTTATTACATACATTTCCTAACGGAATGTTCAATTTTGTATAATAACAAAATATTTTTAATTTTTGATATTTTTAATTTCAAATTAGGTATCTCCCACAAAGTTCAGATGTGAAGGAACTCTAGCTGTCAGATACCTAGCGCTTAAAGATGAGACCGGGTTTGCTAAGGTTGAAGTCTTTGACAAGGCTGCATAGGCTGCCTACAAACTCAATGCCGCAATAGAAGTTACGGCAGTGTACACCAAAACCTGGAAGAATCAACCAAAGTTGAATTTCTCCAAGAGTTCTGATTTTCAGGTAATGTTTATTCATTTCTATTTTGAGAGAATATATATATTTACAAGTTCTTTATATTTTACAAGTTCTTTATATGTCACATTTCTACAATAATTGAGCAAGCTCTCTTTTACTGATTGAACATATAGGATTTCATCATTGATAAAAAAAAAATTTGTCTAACAACAGTCGTTGTGCCTCTATGTCACAGTTTGAAAGGCGAGTCATAGGTATGTTTACAAAATAGGTGTTTAACATTGAGTCTAAGAACAAAACTTAGGACTTCATAATTGAAAGTCATTAAATGTATGTATTTTTCAAATTGTTTTTCTTCATCACATATCCTACATACTGTAATGAAGTACCACTAAAGCATAAAATGAATGGTCAACTGATAATGTTCTCTTCTTGTACAACAGTTTTATACGTTCATCTGATGTACCAGTTGAAGTAACTGATGCTGACAAAGAGCACTTTGCTAAAGATGGAGACTTTTGCATGGAAACAAAAGAGGACATCAAGACATTAGTCTTAAATAGCATATATGAAGTGACATCATATGATGCATGTTCAAATGAAGGTCATGATATTTCTTTTCAGGTAAGATTATGTATGATTAAGATAATGTCCTTTTAAACACTACTTATACAAAATCATCTTCTATCAAAGCTTTTACTTCTCAATGTTTCATGGTAGATGTGTGATGTCACATAATTAAGTGTGTCCTTATGTCTATTATAGTGATAGCTGTTTAATATTCAGATATTAGAAGTACTTATAAAAGAAATGTTTGATAGTCTTATTACAGTAATGTTTATGAGAAGTATTTTAAGTTACTTCAAAATGGGATCTTTGTTCTTTACTAAAATTGTCCACACTATCATGTCACATATCATTTCAGCCTGCCATAAGAAGAAGCTTGTTGATGGGATTTGTCCAACATGTCAAGGTGACATGCATACATGGACTTATAAAGCGAAAGTCTGCATAACGGGGGAAGATCTTTCGAAAGAAGTAGTATTGTTCCAGAACAATCTTGAAAAATTGTTTGGTACAGCCGAGGAAAGATCAGATAATCTATTGATTTGTTTCCGAGCCAGAAACTTTTAACATAGGAGATGAAGTCGGAAGATGGAACGATCTGAAAGCAGCGATAGGGGCAGAAAACAACTGCATTATTGCAAAGTTCCTGTTAAGTGAAGGGGATTTCTCAAAAGTAATTTATATTGATATCATTTTGTCTAATTTGCCAGTAGCGTAATTGTTTTCGTTATTGTGCAACTGCGTAATATTCAATGAACACAAGTCATTAGCAAAACAAAAATCAGATTTCACTCGCTATGAAAGGATGCAAAGAAGGGGTCTGGTGTGGCTAGAAAGGACTATTACTTTGAAACCAAGCTGGATGACATAATGATAGATAGCCATACAAGGGAGCCAGTTTTTACCTTTTCATCAGGTAAATGTAATAAAACAAATCACAAAGGAGTTGATTCTACACAGACTTCGAAAAGGAAAACTTAGGAAAGTGTTGAGGCATCAGAAAGGAAAGTGAGAACAAGTGTGGCCAATAAAGTCCTGCAGTGCCTGGAGGGATATTTAGTAATAGTTTTGTTTGTCAAGAAACTGTCTATGTTTACAACAAATCATTTATCTGTCTAGCAGTATCCACTGAGGTGGCAACTGAAAATTTCTCTAACTTTACTCAAATAAATATCAGAACTGCTGTATGCCTAGAACAAACTGGGACCATTCCATCACTGATGAAGCAAGGAAATTTTGACATAAAGTCAACCTTTGTTTTGTAATCAATAACATTTCATACAGATTGCAATACAAAGACAATATATTAGATATGAAATTATAATTACATATTAAAAAGAGATGGTTCGTTTATCAATAACATCTTATAATAATTAAGAATGTTCATAAACAAGCATATTTTAAAAAAATCACATTATTTTTAGCATAGGAAGAGTCCTTTTCTTTGTTCATGTTGCCTTTAGGAAAGTAAAAACTGAAAATAGAGAGGTTTTGAACAATTTAGCTTTGAGCATTACATAGGGCAATTGGATAACTGTAAATTGGTGGATGGATGCAGGATTGTTGTAGACAAATGTACAGGAAGCTCGATAATGGCCTTTCCTATAGATAGGACAGATGGAAGAACGTCCGGTAAAAGGGGCCATTTCTTTTATTTAATAAAAGGCCATACAGCCCCTTACTCTATTGTTACGTAATGAACTCTGGTGTTCTCTCTTTTTCTGTTTACAATTAGATGGCCCCAATGACAGACACATGGTTATCTGGATGACAATTCTGTTTTCGTTTTTATCTTGTGTTATCCCACAGACAATTTATGAGTTATTTAACTTGCTCATTCCTATATTTAAAATACAGTTGGTTCAAGTGACTATTAAGAAAGAGTAAACAGAATCATTGCCTCAACATTTGGGAATTTTATGATTTGTAAAGCTTATTTAAATGAAAAATTTGTGAAAAACACTTACAGCCAAAGTCTTTCAAGTCTTGTACGTTCTTTCCTACGTAACAAACCCAATGCATGTATAGTGAAAGAGTCGCCATTAACATGTATCGCAAAAAAAACACCAAAGAATCATGTACATGAATGTGGTTTTGTAGTGAAACCCTCTTTCCATTTCTTGGTGCAACCCCAGATGGGAAGGTCTGCCAAAATGGACAGTCTGGTATATTGGAAGTTAAGTGCCCCTATGTTATCAGAGACTGGAACATTTTAGATGCGGTAAGGAACTTTGAAAAAAAAATAACTTGTTTGTTGAGGAGATGAATGGAGACATAATACTGAAGCGCACACATAAGTACTGGTATCAAATACAGGGACAGCTTTTGGAAACAGGGGCTAAATTTTGTGATTTTGTAACTTACAAAGAATGATCTAAATTTTGAAAGAATATATCCAAATAAAACTGACATGAAATCAATATTAAGTGAAATGTCTGCAGTATATGTTGAGTATGCTAGCAAACTCTGAATTTACCAGTGACATTGTCACATTTGAATATTGTTTAAGCAACAAAGTGATGATGATGTTTAATATACACTTAGTCTGGTCAGAAAAATTTGTTTGATGGAAGTTGGGTCATCAGATAGAAAAACTGCCCTTTATGAAACTAGAAAACAGAGGAAACTTTCAACACAATGTAAAGGTAGTTAAAACTCGTTCATTTAACAATTATTTAGTTTTATTATAATGAATTTACGGAATACGGGTTCATCTTCCCAAGAATAACCTATAATAAAACTTTATATATAATATCTCTTATGGAATAGAATAGAATTGATGGATGGGTATTTGGTTTTTAAATCATTTTGTAAGTCTTCCAAAAAGATAGCCTTAAACTGAAATACTACTTGAACAGCGTATATATTCAAATAACAAACCACCAACAATTAATGAAACAAATTCAAATTAAAATGTTAAACTTTTCAGAATCGAAAGGGGGATTGAGGAAATAATCATCGCAATAAGACCAAATGCAATGAGCAGAGAAAAATACCAGTCATACAGGTTTTTGCCATGCGAATTTTGTTTGGGGTTCTATTTTGAAGATTCCTTATGGTTGCAAATTGAACAACCAAATAAACACCTAGTAGCTTCTCTACTATTAAAACCAGAACTGAAAAAGGGATACAACAAAATGTTGATAGTGTAAAAAAGAAAAACATTGTGACACAATATGTAAATTCAAGCAAATGAATTGATTATGAAATAATATATGCAAATTAAGTTAGTAATTTTATTTTATAGATTAGTAAAAAGAAGAAAGAACAGGTGAGACTGACAGATCAATAAGAAATATTCTGGATATTAACACAAATCACTGTCAAATAAAGCAAACAAATCTTACTGGATTATCATACAATATCAATTATAATATGATGGTTTTTGTGAAATGTGATTAACTCTTTAATGAATATTTATAAGAACAACCACTAAAACATTTGAATATTTAACAAAGACATCTCACATAAACATTTAACATCGAAGTTGCACAAATGATATGGTGTTCTAATTTTACCATGAATTATCTTATTAACACATTACAAAAACAGGCACAGTCTGATTCATTCAATCTTTGTATCCAAGACCAAGAATCTAGGTCAATGTTTAAACTGCAAAAAGTTTATCAAAGGATCAATATCCAATTCTAACCGACACTCCAAAACTCACAAGGAAATGATCACTATGTTCATTTGTTTCTCCTGCGACAAAGAATAGACAAAGAGGGACATCTTGAAAAAATCGTTGTAGTAAAATACAACGGTATGGAAATGAAAAGATATAAAACCAAAACTGAGAAAAGAAAAAAAAAAATATTTCTCTCTTTGCTTGTTACAAAATCATGTGGGGACACATTAATAAATGTCCCTGTACAGTTCATTCTCTCATGTCCCAACTTGCTACTGTATATTTATGCCACCCAAAAAAACTAGAACTATCACTAAATGTGATTAATACCCCCACAAGTCTGCTTCGGAAATGAGGATGTTACTAGTAACAGAATACCTTGTAAAAGAATTGAAACATAGAGTTATGGTTGTGGGCAATTAAAGATAATTGTGGTTCATGTATGTTGCATTTCCTTTCAATGTGGTTGGCCATTGATGAAGTTTAATTGAATTACTCTATAATAAGTCCAGAAAGACAAAGAAAAAGAACAAAGGGCAATAACTCTATAAATACTGAAGATAGAGTTATAGTTCTTGTGCACTGCACTTCCTCTTATTGTGCTTGACCATTGTATGAAATTGTTTTGGATTCCAACCAGTACGTTTTAAGTTATGCTCCGGACAAGGAAAATTATCAAACGGCAGTAACTCTGTATTTTGTCAAAATGGAGTTATGGCTCTTGTGCACTGCACTTCCTTTGAATGTCCTTGACAACTGTATGAAGTTGTACTGAATTCCAAACAGTAGTTTTCAAGTTATGCTCTGGACAAGGAAAAGTAACAAAGGGCAATAACTCTGTAATAAGTCAAAATGGAGTTATGGTTCTTGTGCACTGCACTTCCTCTCAATGTGCTGGACCATTGTATGAAGTTGTTTTGAATTCCAACCAGTAGTTTTAAAGTCATGCTCTGGACAAGGAAAAGAAACAAAGGGCAGTAACTCTGTAATAAGTCAAGATGGAGTTATGGTTCTTGTGCACTGCACTTCCTCTCAATGTGCTGGACCATTGTATGAAGTTATAATGAATTCCAACAATTAGTCTTCAAGTTATGGTCCGGACAAAAGAAAGCAATGGAAAAGTAATAAAGGGCAATAACTCTGTAATTACTTTAGATAGAGTTATGGTTCTTATGCACTGCACTTCCTCTCAATGTGCTTGACCATTGTATGTAGTTATATTGAATTCCAACCATTAGTCTTCAAGTTATGGTCCGGACAAAAAAAAAAGCAATGGAAAAGCAACAAAGGGCAATAACTCTGTAATTACTTTAGATAGAGTTATGGTTCTTGTGCACTGCACTTCCCCTTATTGTGTTTGACAATTGTATGAAGTTGTTTTGAATTCCAACCAGTAGTTTTCAAGTTATGCCCCGGACAAGGAAAAGTAACAAAGGGCAATAACTCTGTAATTAGTCAAGATAGAGTTATGTTTCTTACGCACTGCACTTCCTCTCAATGTGCTTGACCATTGTATGTAGTTATATTGAATTCCAACCATTAGTCTTCAAGTTATGCTCCGGACAAGGAAAATTGCAACGGACAAAAAAAAAAAGCAATGGAAAAGCAACAAAGGGCAATAACTCTGTAATTACTTTAGATAGAGTTATGGTTCTTATGCACTGCACTTTCCCTTATTGTGTTTGACAATTGTATGAAGTTGTTTTGAATTCCAACCAGTAGTTTTCAAGTTATGCCCCGGACAAGGAAAAGTAACAAAGGGCAATAACTCTGTAATTAGTCATGATAGAGTTATGGTTCTTGTGCACTGCACTTCCTCTCAATGTGCTTGACCATTGTATGTAGTTATATTGAATTCCAACCATTAGTTTTCAAGTTATGCTCCGGACAAGGAAAATGCAACGGACGTCTGGACCGACCGACCGACCGACCGACCGACCAACCGACCGACCACCGGGTGACTCCTATATACCCCCCCAAACTTCGTTTTTGGGGGTATAATAAATATATGTGTACATGTATGTTTTTAGGCAGAATAATACAAAGACATAAAGTGTGTGCCAGCAATATGGAGCACATATTGGAGAATGATCTGGATCTGTCTAATTTTTATGTTGAAAAAAATGGATGCAGTAACTGGTAAGCAAAATATCACATTTTATCTTTAATTAAAACCCTCATCCTCTCCCA